AGCGAAGTCCAAAGGAAGCTTCATACAGCGATTTTTATCGGCAGGCAAATACCATTTATAGAATCACAATGGAGCATATGACCGTTCTTCTAAAGTCAAACGGGTCATATGCTAGAAACATTGTGTGATGCAAACGGATGAGGGCAGGATGGTCGTTTTCGGTCTGTGTGCTATCCTAAGCCAGCCGCAACTCAACTCCATGTCGGAACACCGAAGGAAAATGTGGATACCTTGCATTTCTGTCAGTCCCGAAGGAGGGGCTACTGTTCGCCAAAAAGATGGTCGGCAAAGGTTTCTGGGTTTGAGCACCAAAACACCTTTAAAAGACCTTTGAGTATTCTTCCCTACCAATACCTTCCAACACCGCTGAAGATCTTGATTTTTTGTTACATTTATTGTTAAAGTTGCTGAACCACTGGAAACTCGAACAGAAAACGTAGGGGTCATTTATTAGTTTAGTTAGGCACCAAGAAACCAAAAACAGTTCCAACACCATGGTGAGCGCTCTTCTACCAACATTAATGTACCCATGCACAAAACCTGGAGTTGAATATGGTCAGCTAAAGACTGCCACTAAGTTAGAAATTGTCATTTCAGTCTTCCTCGTATTTGCCAGTCCGCCTATAATATTAGCCCTTGAGCGGCTGCAGGCCGGATTCGTGATTGGACCCCAAGACACTACGTGACGAGTGTATTCCGAAACTTAATCGGTGAGCGCCCTGCTAACAGAGAGAGGTTTCTCCAGCGGCATGTTAGTCGCAGGCTAAATATGAGGAAGCATTGCATCTGCGGAGGCTTAACAACAAATATCAATTTGCGGTCTCCGACTCCGCAGAGACTTTCTTTAAAAACGGAGGTTTTCTCCTGTTCAGACGAAGGACTGTACGGTCCACTGGCGTTGACAGCAATTTGTTCGCCGTACTGTGCCTGCCCGCTCATAAAATCACGTCAAGCGATAACATCAAGCGAGGGACAGCGACCACAGGAAACAAATCTGGTTCATTGCTTGGTCGGGCGAAACATGCACTTTCAACTGATCCGAAGGTAATTTATTAGGAGTAGGTTTACAGGAATGACTACTGAGTTCGGTATTGGCGACGTTCAAAGGACTAGCACGTCCGCAATCTTGCAGGTAAAGACAAAGATTGTATTATGAACCGCGTTTTTAGATGTGCTGTTATAATGGGGCTTCTCAAGAGATGTGCGAGCAAAGTTCTCGGCTATTTTC